AGCTTGTTGTTTGTACATTTCAGTTTTAATATGATGATTTGTTAAGCACTGACCATGTGCTTGGTCTGATAGGAGGGCCTAGGATGCAGCCATGCCTGGCCAAAGAACTGAGAGCACAGGACACAGAGTACAGACGCAGACTCTGCCCTGGACTGCTAATGGTCTAAATGAGGTGGCCACAGTGTAGACATGCTGCACTGGGAATGTTTAGGATTTGTTTCCCTTTTAATTTATTATACCAATTATCACTGTCTTGCTTATTCCAGGTGATAAGATGCATAATCAGTTACATTTCCTTGTTTGCTTAGTGCTGGTGCTTTAATACTCCCAGCTGTCCTGAGAGTGTCTTTCTCCTCACAGGAACTCAATGTGATTCAATGGAATTCACCTTGTTGGATGAGTGGGACTTTAAGATGCCAGTACGTGTCTGTACAACTCTTTTAGAAGCTTGAAAGGAAGCTAACCAAGTATTTCTCCCTGACTGGACAGTGCCAGCCTCCAACTAAGTGGGTTTCCTTTTTCCTTACACTTATAAGGGCACAAGCAAGCAATGGAACAGCCAACTTAATGGAACAAAGCAGGTTGTCTCAAGCCTCCCAAGTTATACTCTGCTATGACCGGAACAAACAAGAGTGTTCAGATCTTGCTGATTTTCCAGAATTGTCCTTAGGCACGAGTGCAGTTGAGTACCAGAAGCATCCCCCAGAGCCAGCAAAGAAGAAAGCAACTCAGTAACCAATTTGGGATGAGGCTGTGGTGACCCGAGTCTCTGCCTCTCATGACTAAACCTCTTAACCATTTTGCATGACTGTTTTGAGGAACTGGACACCCTTCATATCACCTCAGCCATAGCTGGGAAGGAAATTGCAATTGACATAGATCGGCCCAAAACAGGGATAACACTTTGAGAAATGACACGTTCCTCATGCCTGACTGTCCTTCTTCAAACCAGGACTAACTGAAGAATTCCATCAGTGAAGCCTAAGCAAACATCTGGGCGTAACAGGGAAAGAATGGGTACAGAAGCCACTTTGTTCCCACCATTCAAGGTGAAATACAAGTCATTTGTACACCCCCTGTTGCATCTGGTAATGTCTCCTTAAACGTTAGGGATCACTCTCCCAGTCCACCAACTCAGAGATGTCTGCCTGCTGTTAACCAGACCCTTGCATTCTGCCATTCCAGATACTGCTGTGATGGGAGCCTTCCAGATACCTAGATAGATATGCTCCAAGTTAAGGCTCCACAGGTTGGGCTTCTCTACTGTTTGATCCTATTGCTCAGCTGAGCAGAGCAAAACCTTTTTGCTCTATCCACTGCTCATCTCCCAGGCACATCAAACTTGCTCACATTCAGAATAAGCAGAAACTCTAACCTGGCAGAAGGAGCTGTCTTCTCTGCAGTGCTCCACTCCCTGGTGTAGACATGGTGTGTCACCTTTATGGACCTCTTTTCCTTTCTTGTGGATGCCCAAGTTCCCTGGTTTTCTTCATTCCCTTAGCTTCTTAAATGGATGTCTTCTCAATATCATGGTCCTAGTGTCCTCTGCATAATCTTCACCCCCTTCTCAGGGTGGTGAAAATGAGCTAAGCTGAAAACCCCATACCATGTGTATTCAGATGCCTTTATTTCTGTAACCAGGCTCATTTCAGCCCAGTGTCTCTCATCTCCCAACTTGTAAGTACTTCTCTTCATATTTGAATAAAGTGCAGTGGCATTTGTGCTGGGAAAGTTAACAAGAGTCTCTAGACACCCTGTTTAGGCAGTCAGCTTCTGCTACTGAAGTGGTTGCTTGTGTCCACCGAGGCTTGTTGTAAGTAAAACCCATCTAGTTGGAGCCTGACCTTATCCACTGGAGAAACACTATTTACAGGTAAGAAAAACTAAAACTGTTTATCCTCCACTTTCTTCTGGCAAACTTTGATCCCTCTCGCTTCTGACATTGGGCCTCTGAGGGAGTTTGAAATTAAAAGGGACAGTGTCCCATTTTAAATTTTAGACCTACATTATTAAAGTGTAAAGAACTTAGCTGATTTACAGTGTTTATGGCTTGATTCTGCACCGCTGAAGCACACGAGAGTTTTGCCTTTGCTTCATAAAGTTCAGAGCATTTCACTGTTAATCTCTAAGGCCAGTGCCACAGAGCTACGCATGCTCCAAGGCCTTGTCTGCACTAAAGAAATGTGCTTTGCCTAGCACTCATGTACCTGTTTTAAAGGTCTGATTCTATCTCAATAAAAAAGGCCTTGTCTGTCCTATGTGTTCGTGTTCACACTGTGATATATCAGATTGTATAAACCTACATTGACGCAGTGAGTATGGTCTAAAGGCTAAAGTTATATAGTAAGCATTCTTTTTCTAGCTGTGTAACCTTGTGAGACGTCACCATTGATCTGTGCTTCACTTTTCCTACTGTAAAATGGGGCTACTAATGCTTATCTATCTCACAGGAGTATTGTAAGACAGAATTAATTACAGGGTCTGTAAAGTACTTTGAGAAACTCGGATGGAAGATGCTCTGTAAGTGCATAATATTAATTTATTATAATCTTTCCAAAGGATCTCAGGATCCTTAAGGAGTGGGATTGGACAATTTCAAAGGAAAAATTTTTTCATCCCTAACCATTTTCTTTAGAGCCCAAAGTGAAAGCTGTTTCTACCAACTGCCATCTCTGTCACCATCTGGAAAATCACATTTTCTGAAGCTTTCCTCCTCTTTATCAGCTGTAACTAAAGCTATAAAATGGGAAGATGTCCTTGCTTTAATTAACACCCCTGTAGTTCAAAAGCTGATCTTAGTAATGAGAGGCAATTATAGCCTTTATTGAGGGATAGTCAGGTGGAACAAATCCAGCATCCATCTATGGGAGGCATTTATTCCCCCAGGAAATTTGGAAGCTGCTCATTGTAAAGAGCTGAAAACAAGGTCTGGTACAACAGGTGAATCAATTTGTTCTTTTTGTAATCTTAAAAATAACTTGTTTCTATTATTTTTTTTTGCAGACTTGTTTTTATATCACCATCCAGCTGCCAGCAAGTAGCAGTTGAGTTAAGAAAGGTTGTTACTGGCTCTTTGAGGATGTAGTTTCTGTTTTTTGTTTCTTTTTCTAGACCAGTGTTTCTTTCTACTTTGCATGGCATTCAGTACTGAGTTCTGCTGAAAGTGCATTAATAGATCATTGTATCGGTAGCCAAGTGCAGGACAATTTACTACCGTTACCTGCAGCAGTGTAGCTAACTGACTGCTAGTTGCAATTCATACTGTGCACATTGCAAATGGGTAATTTTTGGGCCAAGAGGCTGGCTGAAAATAGAGTAGGGCTGCAATATTGACTGGGGAAATGTCAAAAGAAATTCACTCCTATGTGGAGGGCCAAGAAACCATCTACATTCCACTTTAAATCCTATTTGGAGGACTTAAGTGGAAAATAGGTGGTGAGTAAGACCTTGTGCAATCTCTCTGCCTGGGAGTGAATTCCACACTGAGATTAAATTCAGTGTGGATAAGTATCTAAAAGTTGAGACCTTCATCCCACCCTCCTGTGTGTGTCTTGCACTGGCAAAGAGATGCATTAGATGGCTCACTAGGTCATGACCATCTATAGACCTGATTCTCCACTCCAGCTTTACACCTGTGTATCTCCATTAATTCTACAAGAGTCATATTCCGCAACATAATGGAGTGGGGAATAGGACACTTAGATTCTGTGAAACCTCTTAAGACTGCAAAACTGGACAAGAATTCCTGCAAGAGCTTTCTCTCTTGAGGTATTTTTAGAGCCCTGCAAATCTGCGGATATCTGCTTTATATCCACGGATATCCACGCACTTTGTTTGCAGATTGCAGATCGGGTGCCGATACAAATTTTGTATCCGCGCAGGGATCTAGGTATTTTCACACTCCCACTCCTAGCAGGTAGTACAGATTTGTGCAACAATGTGGGGTGAAAAAGTTAGGTCACATTGGTTTGGGTGAAGGTTTGGGTAGGTTCTCACTCAATGCAAACCAGTTCTTATATCCCTACTAATATAACATGAAACATACCACATACCCGGTCCTGGACTACCTGAGTCACCTGATATAGTTAATAGTTCCAACCATTTCTAGTAATTGTAGAAGTAGCTGAGTCAATTGTGCATTCCTCTGTAATTAAAAATAGTGTAAGCCTTAACCCTCCCATCAAAACCCTACAATCTTCCAGCAATGAGTGTCTGTCACAGGGTCCCTAGGAGAAGCTTGTTAAAATTCCACCACCAAACTGGAGAGAGGTTTGGGAATGTTTCTCTACCTCTGAAGGTTCTCTGGATACTGCTGAATCACTCCTGCCAGAGAATACGTACCTCTGAGGTCATCAAAATCCCCTGCCTTTGCAATGGACCACATTCCAATGCCAGGTATCAGGTGTGTTTTGGTTTTTTTAAGTGCCCCAGTGAAGACATCCATTTCCAGTTATGGAGGTTGAATGTTATGCTATACACCATAGTAAACCCTTCAGGAAGGAAGTGAAACTTCTCCAGCAAATGAACTCTGTATATAATTTTGTTTGCCATTAAACAGTGTTGCCACCCTTCTTGCTCGCTTACAAGGACAAGGCTTTTATTTAAATTGGAACACAACGAAATAGATTCTCCACTCCCTCATCCCGTCTTTTCCTCAGGCACATGCACATCTTGGGTTTTAGCTGGCTTTGGGAGCCCCCTGTTACAATAGGGGCAGTTCATCACGGCAGTGTTCTCAGGAACTCCCAAGCTGAGCTTTTCCTCTGCTGCGGCAGCAGAGAAGTCCTTATTAAAGTAGGAGCCACTTGTGCCTTCCAAAGACTTTGAAAGAGGTGGCTTTGACTTCTCCATTGAGGAGAGTATTCTGCCTGGGGAAGACTTGAGGGTTGACAGGGTGCTTGAGTTATTTTTGTTGGTGATTTGCTCTGCTGGTATGATGAGGAAATTTAAGGAATTACCCCTCCTTGCTGACTCTCCTGTCTTTTCCTTTCCTTCTCTAGGTTATGGACATGCTGCCCCAGGGACAGATGCCGGGAAAGCCTTTTGTATGTTCTATGCTGTCCTGGGGATCCCACTGACACTGGTCATGTTCCAGAGCCTGGGTGAGCGCATGAACACCTTTGTCAAGTACCTCCTGAAACGGATCAAAAAGTGCTGCGGCATGAGGAGCACTGATGTCTCCATGGAAAACATGGTCACTGTGGGTTTCTTCTCCTGCATGGGAACCCTCTGCATTGGAGCAGCAGCTTTTTCCCAGTATGAGGAGTGGAGCTTTTTCCATGCTTACTATTACTGCTTTATAACATTGACTACGATAGGGTTTGGCGACTATGTGGCCCTGCAGACCAAAGGGGCCCTCCAAAAGAAGCCACTCTATGTGGCTTTTAGCTTTATGTACATTCTAGTGGGGTTGACAGTCATTGGGGCATTTCTAAATCTGGTTGTTCTCAGGTTCTTAACCATGAACAGTGAGGACGAGAGACGGGATGCCGAGGAGCGGGCATCCCTGGCAGGGAACCGCAACAGCATGATTATCCACATCCAAGAGGACAGCCAGCATGTTCGGCCACGGTACAAAGCCGAAGTAACAGACCTTCAGTCGGTTTGTTCCTGCATGTGTTACAGGTCCCATGAGTACACCAGCCGGATGGTGTCGCACCAAAATTCGTTCAGCTCCAAGCTGAATCCTCAGTACTTTCACTCCATCTCTTACAAGATAGAAGAGATCTCACCAAGCACATTGAAAAACAGCCTTTTCCCATCTCCTGTTAGCTCCATCTCACCTGGGTTGCACAGCTTTACAGATAACCACAGGCTGATGAAAAGGCGAAAGTCCATTTAAAGTGTTTTGTCTTCTTTTGCTTTACTTGTTTCCCCCAATTACCTTTTTTGTTTCTTGAGTGAGACGGAGCGAGGCCAAAGGGAATAGAAAAAGCCAGTCCTCCTCTGAGACTCAGCTCTTGAGCATGAAGCATGGATTATTACTGTTCCAGAAAAGTATGCCTTACATTACCCCCTCGGTGGATTTCAGAGGATTCGAGGTGACATGAAATGGGTACCAAATCCAAAGTTGCACACAAGCTGGGAGCCTTCATGTGCCATTGGCACTCCTGACCTAATAAACTATTTTCCTCTCAAGCAGGTCGCTGTGTGCGTGTGCGCGTGTGTGTTGAGTGCGTGTGTGTGCAATTCCACAACTAGTGCCATGTGACAAAAATGCATCAGGTATTAATTTTTTTCCCCTTGAAGCAATTGTGTTCCAGCCTGCTTTTAACTTTTAGACTGCTTTCAAAAGAATAGGGGACGGGGGAGCCAATTTGTTTTGTTTTTGCCAACTCAAGCATGTGTCATAAGCAGTCAATATACCAGGTGTATCATGATAAATTTTTGAATGCTAGATTTTAGATTGTATTAACATAAAAAAAAGAGACAGGAAAAGATGGATCATTTTAGCTTGCCAGTTCAAAATTAAAAATAAAATAAAATAAAAATAAAGCATGCACTTTGTAAAACTGGTATGCATTATAAAAAAAACACAAGAAAAACTAGCAATGGAATTAATAATCAAAAGCAAATAATATCATTGATTTAACTAAATTTACTTTCACCATTTGCTACTGTTCCAACAATTTGTGCAAGTAGAATTTTTTAAGAGAAATTGGGGAAATTGTTGGAACTATAGAGTTTCTTTTTGTTACTTTGCTCTAATTTATAAAATTTATTATTATTATGAAGGCGATTATTTTATTTTATTTTTTTGTGCAGCAACTACCTGCATGAATAGGAATTATATTTTTTGAAATGCTTGGATGAGGATGGGTATAAATAGGCGGATGTATATTTTTTTCCTATATAATAGTGACAAGGCATTCCTTGTTTTAAATAAATAAAAAAATAATGATGATTGTCTCTAAATGCTTTTGATTTGTAAATAGTGGAAAGCCTTTGTTGGTCTCAGGAAGAATTCAAGGAACAGTATCTTGATGGTTTTTGGCCTACTGGGAACTTGCGGTAGTAGATATGGTCTTGCTTTTTGGCTAGTCTGAAAGGCATAAGTATGTGCCTGCGTGTGGCAAGAACAATTGCACTCCGGTGTTTTGAAGGGTTAAACTGGGAACAGATTGCATTAGCCAGATGGAGTGAAGGCTGATGATATCACTAAGTGAAATTGTTCCTTTGGGATCATTTGCCACCCAGCTAATGATCTGAACCAAACTGACTTTACAGAACCATATTCTAGGTCCTGGTCCAACTCCCACTGATGCTAGTGGAAGTTTGTAATAATGAATGCAAGCAGGATATGGTCCACTGGGAGTTTTGTCTTCATGTTCAATGGAGGCAGGATCGGGGCCCATATCAGGGTACAGTGGTGCATCTGAATTAATAACCCTACCTTTTAAAATGCCTTCAGGGTTAATGTACAAAAAAGCATTATCTATCTGGCACAAATCATCTCTCTTGCTGATTACACTCGTATATACTTTCTGTATACAAGCAATAATCCCCCATATATAGTTCTAAGTGTACCTGGATAATACGTTTTCTCAAATTCATGCAAACCTCCATTTCAGATCTGACCTCAACAGCTGGGTGCACATATGGGATGTTGACTGCCTTCCTACGGTTTATTTGTCAGGGGCATTAATGGGCAGAAGTTAGTAATGACCTCTACTTTCAACTCTCTTCTTCTAGCTTTTATCATTCAGCAAAGTCAAAGTCTGTAATTTCAGTGTGTTATAACACACAAATATCCACAACTTTGAAAGCTTTCTATGACTTCCTCTTCTGGGAATTTCTGCTAAATCATGCTGGTATTGCACATTAAAACGTCCAATAATATGTGTGAAACACTAAACTAGAGTTCTGAGTGACCATGAACTGAAATGAACATTTTAGCCTAATTTATGGGAAATGCGTTTTTATCTAGTGTTAATGGGTACTGTGGGTACATAATTAACACGCCTATTAGTGACATGCTTTAAGCACCCAATAGACTCTAAGACTTATGATGATGATGATAGAAGCTTTGAAACAGGTAGATATTTGGAAAGCAGTCTTAACATTCTGTGATCCACCTCTATGATAACCGATTAGACAGCTGTTTCAAGACGTGTGATCTATTGGTCTTCTGAGACTCACTGTTACATATGTTTTTGTTTGTGATGCTATTCTAAGAGCCTCCCAAAAGTGAAAATGATTGTGGTCCTCTTTTGCTACTAAGGAATAAGCTGTATGTATACAATGTGCATATCTGGCAAATATAGTAGGAATCCAAGAAAATCAACAAAAAGTTTGGTTTCACAAAGCTTTGAACATTCAAATTCTGCTTGCCTTTGAGGGGAGAATTTGGCTTGGAGAACTTTTTTCAAAAACTTGAAAAAGTTATACAAATGTTGGATTTTTTTTATTAAGGGAAAAAAAAATCTCTTTTCTCACCAAATGGAACTAAATTGTCAAAAATTCTTCAAGGTTTTGAATTATAGATGTTCAATGTTGTAATGTGTTCTAACCGAGATGTTATAGATTCTCCCATCTGAAGCTAGACAAATTCAGATGAGAAATAAAGTACACATTTTTAACAGTGAGGGGAATTAACCATTGGAATAGCTTACCTAGAGAAGTGGTGCATTCTTCATCATTTGAAGTCTTTATATCAAGACTGTCTGTCTTTTTAAAAGATATGCTACAGCTCAACCAGAAGTTATGGTTTTGGTTCAGGAATTACTGGGTCAAATTCCTATGGCCTGTGTTATGAAAGAGGACAGACTAGATAATTATAACACTCCTTTTTAACCTTTAAAGATCTTCTAAACTTTCCACAGTATGCACCTGATGAAGTGAGCTGTAGCTCACGAAAGCTTATGCTCAAATAAATTGGTTAGTCTCTAAGGTGCCACAAGTACTCCTTTTCTTTTTAACCTTAGATCTCTGAATGTAAAGAGAGAGTGTGTGTGTCTTGTGGGACGCCATTTAGACAGAAGGTGTCTATGTGCCTTAGGATATGTTTTTCTGCCTGAAAGATCAGTAAATCTGTCCAAACTCTTTCTGGTATTCTTATCTTAAATACGATCTTCATGTCTCCTTGTTTGCATTTTGAAACCAGTCCCTTATATGAAATCTTTCTAAGACCCCTTTTGTATGAGCTCTTATAGTATAGGTAGCTGAATTCTCTTGTCTGTATGTTCATCCCCTTCTTGAACTAGATGAAAATGTAGGCGTGTATTTTGTGATACACTCTCTGATATTGGGTGACAAAAAATGCTTTGGGTAGAGAAAGCAGGGGACAATGGAAGGGGGCAGTCCCAGAATCAAGCAGTAAATGTGAAGCCTTGGGGATATAGCTGCTCCTATGCCTCTTCCTGTGGGGGAAAGGGAGATATGGCTGGGGCATAAAAATGTCTAGGTGATTTCCTGGTTGCTGCTGGTAGCTGGCACCACTTAGGGCAGTCCACACACCGCTAAGTCTGCCTAGAGACCAGGCCAGTGTATATTGGTGTAGACTAAAGGGACGTATGAAGGTAGTTTAAAGCCACCTTGGCACTATGCTTCCTTGAACTGTGGCAAATGCTCTTGAATTGCAGCTCAAACTCTGGGTCTTTTTGTGAACATATTTCAGCCCATGGGTTATAGTCACACACTGTTGCACATCTATTTTTAATTCTTCATGATTAGTTATTTATGGAGATGGAGAGGTAATAATTGATGACCTGAAGAAGGCTGAGGTGTTTAATGCCTATTCTGCTTCAATCTTTGCTAAAAAAGGTTAATGATGGCCAGATACTCAGCACAATGAATATTGACAACAAGGAGAAAGGAATGCAAGCCAAAATAGGGAACAACAGGTTACAGAATATTTAAATAAGTTGGATGTATTCAATCCAGCAGGGCCTGATGGAACTCATTTTAGGGTACTTAAGGAACTAGCTGAAGCAATCTCGGAACCATAGCAATTATCTTTGAGAACGCATGGAGGAGAGTGAGGTCCCAGAGGATTGGAGAAGGGCAAATATAGTAGCTGTCTTTAAAAAGGTAAACAAGGAGGACCTGGAGAATTATAGACCAGTCAGCCTAACTTCAATACCTGGAAAGGTACTGGAACAAATTATTAAACAATCAGTTTATAAGCATCTAGAGGATAATAAGATTATAAGGAATGGCCAGCCTGGATTTGTCAAGAACAAATCAGGCCAAACCACCAATTTTCTTCTGTGGTAGGGTTACTGGTCTGGTGGATGGGGGAAAGCAGTAGAAGTGATATATCTTGATTTTAGTAAGGCATTTGATTCAGTCCACATGACATTCTCATAAGCAAACTAGGGAAATGTGGTCCAGATAAAATTACTGTATGGTAGGTTTGCAAATGGTTGAAGGACCATACTCAAAGAGTAGTTATCAATGGTTTGTAATGGGCTTAATCTGCAGCAAGGGAGATTTAGGTTAGATATGAGGAAAACTTTTCTAACTATAAGGGAATAGGCTTGCAAAGAAGGTTGTAGAATCCCAATTATTGGAGGTTTTTATGAACAGTTGGACAAACACCTCTCAGGGATGGTCTAGGTTTATTTGGTCTTGTCTCAGCAGAGGAGGCTGGACTGGATGTTTTATTTAAGTCCCTTCCAGCCCTAGATTTCTATGATTCTATGGTACATGGTTGATTGCCCAAATGACATGGTGTTGTTTCTGCTCCTTGATTGGTTGACTGAACATTTTGTAAAGTGGATGGGGAAGAATCAAAGTGATGGCTGCCCAAACACTTCCAGCATAAAACATCTTGGACCATTTGCTTTGTGACCATTCTCACATAGAAAAACTCACTTGTACGAACATCTGCAGACAAACAATAATAACAATAAAACCATAACAATGAAATCTAATTAAAATACCCTTTGTAATGCTTTTTTGCCATACTTGTTCAGCTTTGTGTGTGGAATTTAGAACTGGAATGAACAAAGCACTAGAGGAAACATTATATGGAACACAATCATACACAAAAAAGCCAAATCCTGCTTACCTGACCACCAGGAGAATTCCCATTGACTTCAGTGGGGAATTAATCATAACAGTCACCCTGTAAAAAGAAAAGGAGTACTTGTGGCACCTTAGAGACTAACCAATTTATTTGAGCATGAGCTTTCGTGAGCTACAGCTCACTTCATCAGTAGCTGTAGCTCACGAAAGCTCATGCTCAAATAAATTGGTTAGTCTCTAAGGTGCCACAAGTACTCCTTTTCTTTTTGCGAATACAGACTAACACGGCTGTTCCTCTGAAACCAGTCACCCTGTAAAGGGGGATGGACAGTTCTGACGTGTCTTTTCCATCTGTGGCTCTCTGGATTCTATATAAACTCTTGCTCGTTTCTGTGTCGCTCTATTTTTCATTGTACAGAATCTTTTGTTTGAGCTACATTTCTTGAGTTAAATCTTCTTTTTCTTTCTTTTTTTTTTTTTTTGCTTCCTAGATTTTTGTTTTACTTTGAAAGAAACAAAACCAATAGTTTTATCCTCCCACCCTTGAAATCGCTGCATGGAAAGCTCTGATTGGGTACAGGCGTGCAGTAGTGGAGTTAATTATAACAAGAATTCATAATGCTCAAAGTAACTAAACAGTGTCTTTACAATACATAGAGACTTGCAGGATCATTTTGCAATGTATTCTCATTTTCAGGTGCCTCTTGTCCCCCACTCCTCCACATTATTAAGCATTAGAAATAATAATAAATCAGATTAGTCTATTTATGTCACACCAATGTGCTCTTTATCAAAACAACACCATTTTAGCTCCCCACAGTTGACTTTGATTTTTTTCTCTTTGATGATAATATGTAATATGAGAGGATAATAGAGTTGTTATATAATCAGTTTGATCAGTGCAGGCCTGAAATAGCTTTGACTGAGTATGCTGTGATATGGAAATGAGAGAGGAAACTTAATAGAACAGTGAAGGCGTAACCCTCCGCTTAGTCTTTATTACTATGTAAGAATTGCACTGGCTGATCTAACCGGGGTGCTTCACTAGAACCTTGTTTGTGAGGTTTGCAGAGATGCCCACAGTAGAGAGTTTTTAAGGAGACATCTATGGAAGGCAGCTTTGGATGTTACGTCCAGATTCTGAAATTGCCTTTAGGTTATTAACAAATGGAAAAGATGAATATTAAACCTAAGTGAAGGACTTTCTTCTGCATGGACTCCTCTGTAACAGGTCATTTAGAACTGAATACATTCAAATAAAAGGAAAGTGACCAAGTTAATTTACTATATTGTAGGTCATCTTGTTAGTTATCCTAGTACTTTGATTGAAAGAACACTGAGATAGTAACCAACAATCCTAAAAATTAAGTCTCAGCCCGGTAATTTATCTTTTCTCTGAAAGATTTGAAAGGTTTTGTTCCTGGCAGTATAAAAAAGGCATCGTTAGATGCTAAAAGCTAGAAAGTGTAATCAGTGGAACTAGAGCTGGAGAAGGGAAATGATTCGGTATGTGGAAGCTGGAGAGAGGAATGATGATGGAATAGCCAATAATAGAGGTTTATGGCCTGATTTTACTTTCTGTAATATTCCTGTTAATATCGGGGTCTAATTAAAACATACATTTAACGCCTTTACTGGGGAAGCTGGAACAGAGAGATGTGCTGGAATGTCTCCATTACTAATGTTATGGCCTTTTTAATGCATATTTTAATGAGAGGCTATTATTAACTGGAATATTACCCAAATTACAATCAGAACCACAGTGTTACTAATTTTGCAACTGAAGGTGCATAATATTTCCAGAATCAGAAAAGAAAGGTTTCCCGTTATTATGTGCCTGCCATCCAACTTTAATATCCAACTTCATTTTAGAAAACGCAGCTAGATAAACTGTATGGAAAGCATTAACCAACATCAGGATACATGGAGGGCAAAACAGATAGCATGACACTGGACACAGAGAGATTGATTACAGTTGGCATGCACGCTGGGACTCTGTTCCTATTTAATCAGAAGTTAGAGGCTGAATTAGAGCCCCCACAAACTGATCTTACTCCTTGCTGGACTGTAACCAGGATGGCAGAGGAATTTGCATCTGAATAAGTACCAACGAGGCAAAAATAAACAAAGATCTCAAGCATGCGACTTGAGCACAAATATAATTTCCATGTGGAATCCTAATGCAATGGTTCTGAGGACAGCAGTTTTGTGTTTTGCCCCACATAAGGCCCAGTTCTGTGAGATGTCCTCTATGCAGCACCTTCCAGAGCTAACCCCCATCCCTGGTATAATCTTTTTAACTTGACTAGGAAGGAATAAAGCCCAGAGTTGGTCTGTTTCTGTTAGAACCAGATGTAACCTGGTTAACATTATCTTCCTCTCCACAATGACAGCCTCCTCACCCCAAATTGGGGATTGAATTCTGGGACAGAGGCCAGCCTGGAGGCTCAGGGTCTCCTTTAGGAACTGCACTGCTGTAGAGGGTCCAAGATGGTAGACAAGGAGCATCATGGAAGATAAGGATCTCCGCATGGGATGGCCTGGACCATTTCAGATCTATTGAGATGCTTGGGTTTTGATGGCCAAACTCTTTGTCTACTTTGTGGGATGCAGACCCTACCCTACAATGAGCCATTTCAGTGGTAGCTCCTGAGGGGGGAATTTGCTGAGCTTCCTGTCCCCTATTGCGTTTTTTCCTGCATATAGAAGAATCTTATCTATAGAAAGTAGGGATTGAACAGATACTGAATCATCTATTCCATCCCTTTACCAGCATTGTTCTTTGCAGTATATTATACTACTGTAAACTGTTGTTCTGATCCTATATCCCTAACTGAGGCTGTAGCTCAGTAAAGAACCTAAGTACATGAATTCAATGGGGCTTGAGTGCTTTGCTGAACTGGGGCCTGAAGCACTGTGACATCCCATTGAGGTCAGTGGGAGTTTTTCCTCAGCATGGTTTATCCCTGAAGGCCCTAATTGCCCTGGAAACATTGCTCTGTTGTTCCTTTCCAAAGATGTAAATACACATTTGTTTCTCCAAAATTGCTGAGAAAGCTAATGAAAGCTGTATAATTATATAGACTTCTGAGTTACTCATGTGTACAAGTCTGCACTTCTTTGGAGAAGTTGCGGCGTGAAATTTGAATTCAGCAAATTGAATACCTGATTCTGATTACACTTATACAGGTAACTCCACTCGTTTCAGCTAAATTACTCCTAAGTGGCAAAGGAGTTAGAGAGGCCAGAATCAGGCCCTGAAAATGTATAAGGTTTGGATTTGGACATGCTATATTTGGTGCTGATGCTGCTAAGTAGACATTTGGGAAAGCAGGAGTAATTTCACTTAAGTAAATGGAGTTATACTGGTGTAAAAAAGAGAGGAATCTGACCCAATATCCCTAATTTTAATCTCACAATTGTTTTACACTAGAGTAACCCAGATGATTTGAATACAATTCCGTTAATCCTGATTAACACCAGTGTTAGCAAGATCAGAATGTGGCTCAATCTCTATACACCATCGCATAATAATATATACAACTAATGCTTCACATTACACAGTCCTTCCTGACCATTATAATGGTGGCAACAGCACTGTAGAAAGTCCTAAAGAAAACTAAACCGCCCAATTGTACAACGTGTGCTGCAGTGTTTTTGCTTTATAATCCTGGAATCCTGGCAACAAATCTGTCTGGCTAATTTTAGGATAGCAATATTATCCCTGAAGCCTGCAGTCTCCAGTCATCTCTCCTTCTGCAAATGTGACAGATGAATATTGTAATTAACAAAAATCCCAGTGTGTTTCATTTTTACTTAATTTTCTTGTCAGCCTTCTTCCACCTTGCATCCTGGCCATGTATGGAGCACCGCCACGCATCAACACCCACAGCAGATTAAAAAAAAATGAATGGTATCATTGTGTTGGTAATTAATATTCGCAGTTCCAAGCTGTGTTGTCTGGGCTCGCTTTGAGAAATGCAGAACAAACAGCAGCGCGATAGAATTTATCATCGCTTGCTAATTCACAAGTGGATCTAAGCAAGCATAATAATTGAAACCGTGCTCCTTAATGCATCTTTTTCATGCACCAGTTCTGATGCTGCTGGTCTGGCTTTGATAAATTGTTTATCCGGCATGTGGCAAAGCTTGCAGTCATTCCTCCACCCAGACCATTGTATCTGGGGCTGGGGTGGGGAGGAACAACAAAGGGCCCATTTTACAGACAGTGTCCCTCTTTGGCTTTCTCTGTGCACAACATCCCTGTCTACCTCTGCACTAATTCATTAGCTTGCCATTTAACAGAAGCATATTAACAACCAGGATCATTGCATGCTGTACTTTCCGCCATTACGTATTAATGAAGAGTATTATATTACAGAAAAGCACACTGGGGAAGGAAATGTTCCACTCTAATTGTTACTGGCAAAAGAAATATATAGATTGATTAAAAACCAAAACAAGGGAATCAAACAGGAAATGCAATTTGCACAAACCTGTCTGTGTGCTGCCTACTTACACTTTGATTAGATGCGATTTGTAGGCCCAGAGGACAAGATATTTTAGTCTGTTCCTTTGGTAGAGGAGCTTGTGGAGGGAGGGGAGTGAAAGCAGCAAACAGGTGGGTAGGAAGCAGATAGAACCTTGGCTCTACTCCTCCCCCTGAAATGCAGGAGTTGGCATGGGGAGTGTTGGCATCTGCAGTGCAGGCAACCCTGGGAACAAGCAGGGTGGAAATTGTGTCTCAGAAGAGACCCTCCCTGCCCAGCCCTTGGGATGGTGCGGCTACACAGTGCTTCATTCACAGGGTTTGTGGCAAAGCCACAATCTACCCCAAGACTAGAATATCCGTATTCCTCAAAAAGGGATAGATGCTGCTGGATGTGACCTCATGTGTTATGCCACTGGAGGGAGTAGGACTACTTATCCATTAAAGGGCTCCTCATCCTGAGTTTGGGGGAGGGAAGCTGCCCAGAATTCGGTACACAATGATCTTCATTTTTCGTGCATTTGGATTTTTCAACTGTACAACAATAATCAAAATTGACCTTTAGAGAAATGACATGAATGAAACTCAATATTGCTGGCCATCCTGACCACTTCTGCATGCAGCTCTATTGTACTCATTATC